AAAACTCCCTCAAACTGCAAAGGCAAGGTAAGATATTTGCTAAATAAAGAAAAAATAAAAAAGAAAAAAAAAAGAAAAATCTGTCACTTCTATGTGAAAAACAATACTGAAACTCAAAATTGTAAGTCATACAAGCCTCAGCAGGGAACAAGGCTTTCTAACAGCCAAATAGAACAATTTGACCGTCTTCACCATAAAGAAACAATTACCGAACGCCTAGAGTCATGGTTCTAAGTGAGGAATAGACAACAATACTTTGTACATAGTAAGGAGGAGAAACACACGTACAGCTAATTACTCACAAGTCACACAAAACACACCAGCTGTTATATCAGTAAGCCCATATGATTTTTGTAGGCTGTCATTATAACAGAAGTCATGACCATTAACGTTAGGGCTGCTGTATTTACACACTTTCCAACCACCTCACCCCCAGGTATGCCCTGAGCTCTCAGACGCTAATCAGCATCAGACTGGGCCAGGTACTGGGAAGCAAGTTTGTCAAAACACAGCAACTGGATGCTGCTGTCTGATTGCAGTACATTCCTCTATATTTCATACCACTACTTCACCGGGTGGGGGAGTGGAGGGGAGGGAAGGTTTTAAGAGTCATACTAATTTAGCTGCTCAATTGCAAACAGTTGTATAAAGCACTTGAGGTCATTGAAAATTCTACAGCATTTACAAAATTGAAATACTCGATCTTCTGGCCCTCACAGATTTTCATGAGATAAATTAACCTGAATGAGCACCACTGCTCATAATCTCAGCACATGCTCTGGATTGTTTGTAGAGCAGCTCTCCAAAACCTGCCCTCACTTTGAAGACTGTCATGCAAGCCAGTGCATGACAGAGTTGCATTTTCCTCAATGCTAATCTCTTACTTTATCCAAACTTTGCATTCAGTACTTTTATTCATCAGAAATACACAAATATATATGGATATAACAATTCCATTAGCTTTTGTTTGATGGTCACATTATTTCTCTTTCATAAAATGTTCTCTCTTTGGATTATCCAACCAATTTGCTGTTTTCTCAGCTTTATATCACACTGGCTTCTATAAAGCTAGACCTAAAGTAGTCTCTTTATGCCCTTTAAATGTAATGCCTATTATCTTCTCTTCTGCTACAACTATATTGTGACTGCATAAAGACCCTTGACAGCACAAAGGGAAGCAAACGGCCTTGAAAGTCATGAAATAATACCAGCTGCAGGTTTTTTTAGAAAAAAGCTTTATAATCACACGCTGCTATTATTCTGTGAAGGGTTTATTTTGGAAGGAATGTGGCAGTAAATTCAATCTGGATATTGTATAGAATGACAACTGTTTCCAGGCAGTTACACCTAAACTTCTCAGTGTGGTACCAGGTATCACATAAAAATATGCAGGAAAGACCTCCTTAATTTCTGACCACTAAAAATCGAGCTTTAAACCACTCTACAGCATTTGCAAATTTGAAAAAGTCTTTCTATACATCTTGCAAACAGCTTCGCTGAAGTGTACAAAATCAAAAGGGATTACTGAACACAGTGAGACAGACGGAAAGGGAAGAGTAACACATGACTGCTTTGGTAGGAAAGTAGCTGAACTAAACTATTCTGAATGGCATTAGTTTATGATACAAAGACATTTAATTTACTTCATTATTCTCTGTGGGCAGCTAAACCACCCTAAGGCCCTAACATATTCAAGGAGATGAGCACAGCGGACAAAGACTCCTTCAGAGTGCAATATTGAATGAAACTTAAATTAGATCCCAGAAGAGCAGTAGAGTGTACATTAAATATGGCACCAACACTGAGCCACTCTGTTCATATGCACGTGTTTTAAAGCCATCAAAATCAGGGCCCAGAAGATTTTAATGCAGTTTTAACATAGTCATGCCTATAGCTTCCACTTTAACATACACTTCATAATCATTTGTTTACATGAGGCACAGGACAGAAGGGTAAGGAAAAGTCTGCACCTAACGCCAAATACTTTCTTAAGAAACAAAAGAAAACAATTTTGTTGTTTTCACAATGAAGTGAAAGACTACAGGATTTTGGGGTTTGCTGGCCTCTATAAGTTTATATACATATATACATCAAAGAAAGTTAAGAAAATATGTATTCATATTTCAAACACTGCAGTTTAACAAGGTGATCTGGAAGGTATCATTGCAAATGTTTTATATATTGTTATGTTTCTGTCTTTTTATGTAGGAAAAAAGGAAACCAAAACTAAACAAATCACAAAACACCCAAGGACCCCAATGCAAACCAGGATTCAATCCCTTCTCCAAGGCACTGTAGTACAAAATGCTATTCAGTAGATGCTAACTTTAAGCAAAGTATTTTTTAAAAAAGAAACTAATGTACCTACCTTTAAAAATCTGGCCTTAGCAAAATAAACAAACAAACAAACAAAAAAGCATGGGTTTTTTGTTTGTTTTGGGGCTTTTTTTCAGTACCTGTGGCAAAGAAATAGGTACAAAAAACCTAGAATCAAAACCATGAAAAAACATATGGGCTTAAAATTCATGGTTTTGGAAACAATCAGTATACAACTAAAATTATTTTTTAATTAAAAAAAAAGTGAAATTATAAAAAGGTCAATGGGATAGCATGGTTCTGTTTGCTGAGTATAATGTAGCAGTTTGTTCTGCAACGCATTCTATTTCAAACCCTGGGACATAACATTGTTAGGCCAGAGAAAGAAAGGCTCAACACAGCAAGACAGTGAAAAAGAGACACTACCACAACAACTAGAACAAAAGAAGGATAAATACTTGTCACTGTCAAAAACATGATAAAGAGAATTAAAGACAAAATTTGCGAGTAAGCAGCAAAGGCTGGAACTTCAAGATTTGACTGTTTACTGGACAGAAAGGAGACAAAACAAGACATTAACCAAAAGTTTAGGAAGGTTTAAGCTCTTAATACAACTGTAGTAACACTTCTTCCACCACTTCTGCTGTGGAGATGCTGCAATCTATCAGGCAATTCCAAAGATGTATCCTTTGGGATATACCTGTGTATTCACTTTACCTGTAAACCACAGTATTTGTAGTTTCCTGTAGCCGAGGATCATAAAAGTGTGTCATAAGGGAAATCCACCTCCACTAAACCATTATTTGGGGGACAGCATAGTGAAGTACCATGTTTGCAGCCTAGTACAGACATTTCCTAAATCTCGTATTTTCTTTTGATCTCAAAAACAAACTAACAACCAGCTCTGTTGATTGACTAAATGAAACTTTTGCAACTTGACTGAAATAAGCAGTAATTTACTGCAGCTCATCTGGAAGAAGCAATTTCAGGAAATAATCAAAATCTTTTCTTCGGCACTCTTCACAACAATTTTAATCTTACCGAAATATTAATTTTTTTTCCTCCTCCATGTTTTGTAATCTGCATGATTGTTTTATATAAATCGGAGAAAAAAAGCAAAGACTCCTTTTTATAAACTTGCATAGAACTTAGTACTCTTGCATAAAACCTCCATTTATTGGGAGTGCCCCCAAAATTTAATAGAAAAATTTTGTGTATCAGGAAAGGGTGGAATCTCTTTTCTTTTGCCAATACTCAAACTTTTGAACTTGGCATAGTTACAAATTTCTAGCATTGTACCTTAACAGCTGTTCCTTGTACTATTTTGACAGATTCTTCACGTTACTTTGGTACTCATGCTTTACTGGAAACCGCTACTAAAAGAAGACATTCCTGTTAATATTTCAGGTACTGTAATTCCTGAGTATTTATCAATTTAAGCTTTTCTGGTAATATTTTGTTTATAAAACAATCAAACACCACATCCAGTTTCTCACTAAGGACAACACCCACAATTTCTCATTAAGAAGATATTAGCTGCACTGTGCCAAATGGTTTTTCATTCTGAAAATGCACTTACTTGAAGCGGTGGATCTGGAAAGACTGAAGTTTAACAAGCATTACAGCCATTTTATTATTAGAGGCTTATGCTGACATTGTATGGAGGATCGACCCTTTTCAGAAGGTGCATTACCAAAGATACTCAGAAAAGATGGGGTTTCACCTTTTCATGTTACTTTGAGCTGTTGGCTACTAAGGCTTTAGGGAACCAATCCCAAACTTGATGGCATCAGACAGCTTTTAAACATTACAAAACCAACTGATGCCTCAGCTCTTTAGAACAGTTGCTTTCAAACAGATTTTCTAAAGACAGGTCTGAAAAAATACTAGGTAATTTGCTTTTAAATAGCAGATTTTCTCAAGGAAGAAAGGTAAAAAAAACCAACAAACTCCTCTGATTTTGAAGAAGTGCATTACAAAGGCCTGATATGTATTTCATCTACAGCTTCAAAATAAATCCATGTTAAAAATCACACATAAAACAGTTGGTGTGTCATAATTTTATTTAAAAGTTTTTTATATGAAAGTGTGAAATCCAAACCAATATTCATGGGATAGTGAACAAAGTCCATCATAAAAGATACAAATGCTGTTTTGCAGTAAACATCCAGGCAACTGAGAGAACAGCTCAAATCACCAACTTTTACTGGGGTGCCAAAGCAGCTTCTGAGGTTCCTTAGCATAGGCTACTAAAAATCAGCCAGAGCCATCTTTTGATAGTCTCCATGGTTACTGAGGTCTGCTCAAAGAGAACAAAGGTGATCCATAGCTGGTCCCCAAAGGATGCACAGTTCAATGCTAGGAGGTGACACGAGACCAACTGTTCTTTTCACTGTGGCTGTTCTCCATGTCAACTGCTGCCTCGAGGCATACGATAGCAGGCCTCTTCCCAGCATGTTTTCCAACAAAACCTGCTTCCCCCTGATCCCGGTTAATGCTTCCCGCTCACACATCTGCGACAGGGATTTAAAAACACCCAGCCAACTCCCCTCCCACCCTTCCTTGGGAGGAGCCCGCCCGTGGCCGGCGGCAGTGCAAGAGTGCCGCCCAGCTCCACCCAAGGTCCATCGCTAACGAGGCCGAGCGGACCAGCAGCGCTGCCCGCCGGAAGAGCGCAGTAGCCACGCCTTCTCCCGAGGCCAGCTACAAGAGCGACACCGGGCTCTTCTCCTCTAGCGGCTGCTGGGGGGGATACGGCGGCTGTTCCTCTTCTTCCCCCTCCAGCAGCTCATCCAGCTCGCTGTCGTCGAATCCCGAGGCCTCCGACCCGCAAGAGGTCCGGCAGCGCCGCAGGTGCTGCAAGGCCCTGCGGTGCCTCTCCTGCAACTTCCCCAGCTGGGCGCGCAGGGATTCCGCTTCCTCTACCGGGGCCGCGGGCTTGTCGGGGCCGTCGGGGCCCAGCAGGGTCTGTCGGAAAAGGCTGCGGTTCTCGCGGCGCAGGCGGCGGTTCTCCAGGCGCAGCCGCGCGTTATCCTGACGGAGCCGCGCGTTCTGCGTCTCTTGCTCCGCCCGCTGCCAGAGCGCCTCGCTGTAGCTAGCTGCCAGGTCCGCGTACCGCTCCGCCAGCTGCTGCAGCGAGCCCCGCGACTGGCCCCGCCAGCCCTCCTGGCGGCTGCCCTGCCCGCCTAAGCCCTCCGCGCCACCGCCGAACCCCGGCCGGCCCCGCCGCGCCGAGACAGTACAGCTCCAGCGCCCCTCAGCAACGCGCATGCGCCTCATCCTGCTTCCTTCGCGCCGCCGCTGCCGCCGTAAGGGAAGGGAGGTGCCGGCACCGCCTTATGCAAAGCCAGGGGCGGGTCTTCGGGCAGCGGAGGTGGCCGGGGGCCAGGGCTGGGGGGGGGGTGGAACGGCCAGCGCGGAGCCATTTTGGGGGCGGTGTCATTTCGGGCGTGGCGCACCTCCTGTCAGCAAAGGGGCGAGTACCGCTCGTCGAGCCTGGGTCCGGAAGCCGATCAGCTCCTCGTGGGTCATAACTTGTGCTTCTCCGGCCTGCTTCCTAACCGTGACTGATGGATTTGGGCAGTCGCCTCTCAGAATACCCCACTCCACCCAGATGCCCGCCTGACAAGGTGGGTTTCGCTGGTTGGCATAGTTGCGCAGTCCTTCAGTGTTAATGTGGGCTTCCTTTTTATTGTTACTTATCGTGGTGGCTGCTGCACAGAAGAAGGTCGATGTTAGCCCTGAAAGAGATAAACTTACAGTTAATAAATGATAACCAGAAATGATACTTACAGTACAAAGTGTTCATGTTGCCTTGATCTTTATGCTGACATAACAGTGGGGTTCAGCATGGGATGAGAAACTTAAGCATCTATGTTTACTCTAGTCCATGCATGACCGTTAAAGATAAAATGTGGGCTTCTGCCAGGAATTAGATTTGATGTAAGAAATAGCAACATGGGAGTGCACCAGAAGTTTGATAACAGTCCTGGAAATAATGTAGGAAAATGCAGGTCAATCTGTGTCTCTTTTTGAGCTTGAGGGGAAGGAATATCTTTGGAGAGAGCACCTGCGGTCTTGGAGTATCAAGAGGAACATTTCCTTTCCTAGTGGAGAATATTTGGAAAGAGTCCCCTTACAGCTTGATTTCACCTCCCAGTTTTAGTTTTCAGTGCAATGGAACTAAGTAAAGCATAGTCTAAAGAAAAAAAAACAAATCTGGTTAGGCAGAAGGAGGGCCACTGCTGTCATACTGAGGGAAAGTCTGTAACAACAGAATCACAGAACCATAGAATGGTTGAGATTGGAAGGGACCTTAAGGATCATCTAGTTCAACCCCCCTGCCATGGGCAGGGACACTTCCCACTAGATTGGGTTTCTCAAAACCCCATCCAGCCTGAACATTGCTGGAGATGGGCAGCCACATGTTAGACACAGTTCTGACAGGTTTGCTGCCGATGCTTTTAATCGGCCTTCGTGTTTTATGCAACTAGGACGAGATGCAGTCAGTATTCTGAGCTTAAAAAAGATATGTGTTGTTAAAGCTTCTAATCTTACCAGTTACTTACTTGTAACACTTTGTAAATTAGCCCAGGTAGAAGACACAGCATGTCTCAAGAGTCTGTACACTGAATCCAAGAGTGAATAGGGAGGCTTTATCCTTACCCCTTTTCAGCAGTGTAAAGCAGAAATGCTGTTGTCAAGAGCAATGGGATTGTACCTATAACCTACTGTCACTGTGGAGTAAATTAGATCAGAACTCTCTGTAACCAGAGATTTGCAGTGCAGTGTTGCGAAGAGGAATAGGGTTTGGAAGCTGATTTACTTATACTTTTGCCAACCTGCCTTAGGCATTGTCCTTGACTGTTGATAGTGTTGAGGAAAAGGGCACATTAGAAGTTGTCTTGTCATTCTTGGAAGAAGAGATGTTTTGGGAATTATATAAACCCACCCATTCACACAGTCTAAGTATGGATGTGTGACCTTGGAGGGTATTTACTGCTTAACTATACTGCTGATCTTTGCCTGTTAAACGTAGACCTGCAAGCTGAGCTGCTGCTTTCTTATACTTTGATTAAATCTTTGAGTTTATTACTTTCATACATTGAAAAATCTTATAAAGTACATACCAAGCTATTGTTCTTGTTACTGCTAACATCACTTTCAAAACCATCACTGGGCGTACCTTAAGACCACCAAATAGACTTACTAGTTGGTACCAGCATTTCTTGCTCATACTTGACAGCATAAATATAACCTTAATGAAATAATTACTAAACTAGTAAGAATAAGTAATATTGGTGGCATTTATTTATTGTCCTGCTATGGGTAGCAATATTAAATGCCATCAAACACCAGCATCTTTGATAGCACTGTTTAATCCTATTGATGTGTTGTCATGAGAAGAACTAAGTATATATAAGGGAAGCTTGACATACCCATTTCAATTAGAATTTATGTTGCCGTGATAAAAGAATGGTCCCTCAAAATACTGTGGACTAGGATAAAGAAGCTGAGTTCAGAGCTGTGCATATGTTAGTGGAGAAGAAAGAGAATGGTGCATTAAGGATAACATACTAATTGAACTGTAAGAACTTCAGCATGCAGCAGACAGCCCTTCAGCTCTGGTTCCTGAACAAAGCTTTATAACCTAAAATAAAAGCACTGGTTAGACTTAGAAATACAGGCAGTGGGTTGCTTGTGCTTTCTCCAAAGGTCCCCATGTGTGTTGTGTGTACATGTGGGCTTTTGTTTTTAAGATGAAAATGGAATTCTGTATTCTGGGACTAAGAAACATCACATTAAAAGAAAAAGCTTTCTGATGTGTAGGTCAGCCCTAAACCTTTTTTTAGGGTGAAACATAAACATTTTGGCCTTTGAACCAGTAATAAGGCCTGTGAATTGCATAGGAATAATAAACAATAACTTAGTTGAGTTGATTCACCAGATGTGATAATGCAGCTAAGGATAATAGTCAAAAATTAACCTCTTAATTAAGGGTAGTTGTTGAAGTCCCAATTAAAAGGATGGGAAAATGAAGTTTAAAATTGCACATTGAAAATTAGAGCAAGACTTCTGGACAGCTGAAATAGTGAATCAACTAATACATGTCTTGCATTTTTGTATGGCAAATCATCTGTAAGCCATGCTATAAAAAAAGTGTTATAAATTCAGAGTATGGAAAATACAGATGTTAAAAAAAAGTATAAAAAAGTGATAGCAATGTTTTCAGTGAAAAATTTGTTCTCTAGGGGCAACTGTTGCAAGAAATATTAGTCATCGCTGGTTTCCAGCAGAATCTTGGAAAATATATCTTGAGATCTGGTATGATTTCTCTGAAATTGGAATTAAAGTTTGAGGGAGTATGATCTTGGTGTTTTTGTCTCACAGGAGTACTTCTCTTTTCCATGCAGTCCAGCAGATACATCCCAAAAGACTTCCTGGTTAAGAATCTGGTGTTTCTGTAGATTAAACTGGCAGGTGCAACACACAACTGATGCTCAAAGAAAAGTGATTGAGCAAAATAGAAAAACAAGATAGAAATATGTCAGGAGGTTATGCTTAAGCCTTCAACCAGCCCATTGTCATTTTGAAGGAAAACTGCAAAGCTGGCAGCAGCAGATTCTGTAATTGCAAGAAAATTAAAGTTCTTTCCACTTAGTGATAATCAGATTATACCTTGAAATCTGTAAGAGATTATGTATCTTTAGCCATTTTGTTAAACATAGATTATGTGATGGTGCATATTAAAATGGGAAGAAAAATGATTACTCCAGAAATGGCCTATGGTAAAACAAAATTTTCCAGTATATACTCAATTGACACAAAGTAATGTGAGATGATGTTTACCTTGGCCACGTGCTCAAGAAAGAAGGGGTTTGTACCAACAGACAGAAAACTTGAGTTTATACATAAATATTGGTACTAAAGCCTCATTTGACAATCAAGAGCTTCTTCAGAAAAGAAATTTATGTACACTGTGACAATATATAAATAATACCTGTATTGCATCATTAGTTTTCTCCCAGCTGGAAAAATTTTCTAGACCTTGCTATTTTTCTTGTTCCATTCAAAATGGTAGATACAGGATAGAAAAGCTGTCAACTGTAAAACTGGAAGGTCCATAGGAGAGTGCAGGTGGTGTCTACATCCAGGTTCACCAGGGGGTTTCTTGGTTGTGTGGAAGGCAGCTTCCTCTTGAAAGTGATAGAGGAGCCAGCAAGGAGGGATGTGATGCTTGACCTCATGCTCGCCAGCAGGGGGGGGCTGGTTGGGAGTGTGACACTCCAAGGCAGCCTTGGCTGCAGTGATCACAAGATGTTGGAGTTCGAGATCTTCAGTGCAGTGAGAAGGGCACGCAGCAGGGTCATTGCCCTAGACTTCAAGAGAACAGACTTTGGCCTCTTCAGGAACCTGCTCAGTAAGGTTCCATGGAATAAAGAGAGCAGAGCAGCCCACGACTGCTGGTTGATATTCAAGGATCACCTCGTCCAAGCTCAGGAGCAATGCGTCCCAACTAGAAGGAAATGGGGCAGGAAGGCCAGGAGGCCTTCATGGATAAATGAGGAACTGCTGAGAAAACTTAGGAGGTAAAAAGAAGCTTGTAGAAGGTGGAAGCAAGGACAGGTGGCCTGGGAAGAATACAGGGACATTGTCTAGGAAGCTAGGGATCATGTCAAAAAGGCTGAGGCCCAGTTAGAATTGAATCTGGCCAGGGATGTCAAGGATAACAGGAAAGGCTTCTATAGGTATGTTTCTAACAAAAAGCAGGCTAGGGATAATGTGGGATCTCTCTGGAAGCTATCAGGAGAGCTGGCTACCCTGAATTTGGAGAAGGCTGAGGTTCTCAATGACTTCTTTGCCTCAGTCTTCACCAGCAAGTGCTCTAGCCACACCACTCAAGTCTTGGAAGGCAGATACAAGCACTGAGAATGAAGACCTTCTGCCCAGTGAAGGAGAGGATCAGGTTCAAGATCATCTTAGGAACCTGAATGTGCGCAAGTCCATGGGACCTGATGAAATCCATCTGTGAGTCCTGAAGGAGCTGGTGAATGAAGTTCCTAAGCCAGGGTCCATCACATTTGAAAAATCATGGCTGTCAGATGAAGTTCCCGATGACTGGAAGAAGGATAACCCTCATTTTCAAGAAGGGGAAAATGGAAACCCAGGGAACTACAAACCAGTCAGTCTCACCTCTGTGTCTGGCAGGATCATGGAGCAGATTCTCCTAGAAACCATGCTAGGGCACATGAAAAACAAGGTAGTTGGTGAGAGCCAACATGG